ACTACTTTATACACTCACTACTTTACACTGTTATACACTAACTACTTTATACACTCACTACTTTATACACTCACTACTTTACACTGTTATACACTCACTACTTCATACACTCACTACTTTACACTGTTTTACACTCACTACTTTATACACTCACTACTTTATACACTCACTACTTTACACTGTTATACACTCACTACTTTATACACTCACTACTTTATACACTCACTACTTTACACTGTTATACACTCGCTACTTTACACTGTTATACAAGCTGCACACTCACTACTTTATACACTCACTACTTTACTCTGTTATACAAGCTGTACGCTCGCTACTTTACACTGTTCTACAAGCTGCACGCTCACTACTTTACACTGTTATACAAGCTGTACGCTCGCTACTTTACACTGTTATACAAGCTGCACACTCACTACTTTATACACTCACTACTTTACACTGTTATTCACTCACTACTTTACACTCACTACTTTACACACTCACTACTTTACACTGTTATACACTCACTACTTTACACTGTTATACACTCACTACTTTACACTGTTACACACTCACTACTTTATACACTCACTACTTTATACACTCACTACTTTACACTGTTATACACTCACTACTTTATACACTCACTACTTTACACTGTTATACACTCACTACTTTATACACTCACTACTTTATACACTCACTACTTTACACTGTTATACACTCACTACTTCATACACTCACTACTTTATACACTCACTACTTTACACTGTTATACACTCACTACTTTATACACTCACTACTTTATACACTCACTACTTTACACTGTTATACACTCGCTACTTTACACTGTTATACACTCACTACTTTATACACTCACTACTTTATACACTCACTACTTTATACACTCACTACTTTATACACTCACTACTTTACACTGTTATACACTCACTACTTTATACACTCACTACTTTATACACTCACTACTTTACACTGTTATACACTCACTACTTTACACTGTTATACACTCGCTACTTTATACACTCACTACTTTATACTGTTATACACTCACTACTTTACACTATTATACACTCACTACTTTACACTGTTATACACTCACTGCTTTATACACTCACTACTTTATACACTCACTACTTTATACACTCACTACTTTACACTGTTATACACTCACTACTTTATACACTCATTACTTTACACTATTATACACTCACTACTTTACACTGTTATACAGTCACTGCTTTATACACTCACTACTTTATACAGTCACTACTTTACACTGTTATACACTCACTACGTTATACACTCACTACTTTACACTGTTATACACTCACTACTTTACACTGTTATACACTCACTACTTTATACACTCACTACTTTACACTATTATACACTCACTACTTTACACTGTTATACACTCACTGCTTTATACACTCACTACTTTATACAGTCACTACTTTACACTGTTATACACTCACTACGTTATACACTCACTACTTTACACTGTTATACACTCACTACTTTATACACTCACTACTTTAAACTGTTATACACTCACTGCTTTATACACTCACTACTTTATACAGTCACTACTTTACACTGTTATACACTCACTACTTTATACACTCACTACTTTAAACTGTTATACACTCACTGCTTTATACACTCACTACTTTATACAGTCACTACTTTACACTGTTATACACTCACTACTTTATACACTCACTACTTTAAACTGTTATACACTCACTGCTTTATACACTCACTACTTTAAACTGTTATACACTCACTGCTTTATACACTCACTACTTTAAACTGTTATACACTCACTACTTTATACACTCACTACTTTAAACTGTTATACACTCACTGCTTTATACACTCACTACTTTAAACTGTTATACACTCACTGCTTTACACACTCACTACTTTAAACTGTTATACACTCACTACTTTATACACTCACTACTTTACACTGTTATACACTCACTACTTTATACACTCACTACTTTAAACTGTTATACACTCACTGCTTTATACACTCACTACTTTATACAGTCACTACTTTACACTGTTATACACTCACTACTTTATACACTCACTACTTTCCGCTGTAGCAAAGAGTCATTTCTTCAGTGTTGAAACGTGAAAAGATAGAATCAGATATTTACAGAGATGTGAGGGGTGGACTCACTCTGTGAGATACTGTATATAGTTCCTCTGGACCCTTGAGGACGTCTCATTGACATGATGGTATTTCCTAACCTGAACCTGATTCCACATCTTAACCCTCAAAAAGCCGTCTCTACCTGGGAGGACCTCAGTTCCTGTCCCCGGTGACACGAGTCCATCAGTTAGTGTGCGTTCAGGTTAAAGCCCCCCCCACCCTGTTATATTTTATGTGCGTTTGTGTTGTGGTGAAGCGGCTCTTGGTCTCTTCCAGCCTGTAGTGCTGGTGATAGTGAAACAGTGTGATCTGGTCCGCTCTGAGCCTGAACCTGAACCCCGACCACATTTCTTCATTTAACGGCCATAAGGTCGGAGGCCACCGAGTTAATCGAACCATCTGACACGTTCACATTTTCATATTTCACATTATTTTGGCAGCATTCAGGAAATAGATTGGGCCGTGTGAGCACAATGGGCAACAGTACGCTTCTGTTCCCAATCAGATTTTTATTTTTTGACACATTTGCATTTAACCTCTGCTGAACCGTAGCGGCGGCGTCTGCTCATTTCCTTCTCCAGATATGAGTGGCACTACAGAGCTGCAGGGAGCAGATATTGACTGATTGAGCAGTCTGTGGGCGACGCTGAGTGCTGCAGCTACATTAGCTCCCATTGTGGGCAGCTAAATGGAGGCTGGACTGGAAATCTTTGGGAGGGAATTCAGTGGAAGGACAGAAAGCTCGGGGACCGTAAGACGTCCACTTCCTGTTAAACCTCCTGGCATCATAATGGACTCTGAGCTTCTCTATCAGGACACAATTGTGCTGCCAATAAACGGGTATTATGATTTATTGTGGTTTGTTGCTGCAAAGTTAACTTTCTGTGTCAACAACAATAGTTTTCCATTTACTGAGTGAAAGGAAATGATGAGGAAGATGAGCTCTTCATCACCACGCCGCCTCCACCCGGCCGCTGCGCGCTTTACATTTCAGATTCTTTGTCATTTCATGTGTTTTATAAATGAGTTAAATAATGAACACACATTCAGTTCATCTGGTGAGTGATCTGCTGACCCTGCGGGTTTTTCTCAGGACCCCTGAGAGCTCCAGGGCCTCAGACTGGGAACCTCTGGTTCAGCCTGTAACAGTCTGAAATGTTCCTCTTCAGAGTTCAGACCTGAGGACAAAGTCAGTTATCCAAATAGTTTTAGATTTACTTTCTGTTGAGTGATAAAATTTCACCCATGGCCGGGCAGCAAAACAGTAACGATGATAATAAGATCATTTCCCACAAAAACAAAATACCCAATGTTCAATAAATGATTTCATTAATTTGAATCACAAACGAATCAGCAATTAATTTTTCTATTAAGACAGAAAATAAATAAAATTTGCCTGTTTGAAATATTTTTAATTTGTGTTCAATCAGTTAAAGCACTTTGTAACTCTGTCTAGATAAGTGCTGTATAAATAAAGTTTATTGTATTATATATATTGTTAAGGAAAAGGGAGTGAAAAAAATATTTTACTTAATTTTCCTCGTGCATATTAAAACAGAATTTAATAGTTCTGAATGTTCTGCCTCAGATCTGTGAAGTGATCCTCTGAGAAGTTTAAACCACAGTAACGTTCACTCAGGAGCAGAAATCAGCCTTTAACCTGAAAGAAATAAAGATTTGACTTTGATCCTGATAATGATTGACATCAGAGGATGTGACATGTTTGTCTAAGGTGAACCTTCCTTTAAATGAAATTAAATAGTTGCAGATTAATTTTCTGTAGATTAATCAATGAATGGACTCACATTTGGTGCAACAGTAAGTAAACTGCTGCTTTTATGAATGCCATCACACCTGCAGCGTATAAACTTTATTTATTCAGACAACAACAGGAAGTTAGTTTGTTGAAGGAGCTGCTAACGAGAGGAAGAACAGGACGGACTGTTGGTTAATGTGCAGGCTGAAGGTCCGTTTGATGTGTTCACTGTCTGAGATCAGCTAAAGGGGACTTCAGCTGTGACATTTTCAAAGTTTGGTTCAGCTTCTTTTCCCTTGTGATCAGTTTAGAGCCTTTTATTAGTTCATTTATTGTATTAAATATAGTGAAATGTGGAGAGTTGAGTGTGGTGGCACTCTGATGTCTCTCTGATCAGGTTTATCCTCCCAGGATTAATAAAGTTCTGATCTACAACCACATATTTAACTGTGACTATTAAATCGGTCATTGATTATATTTTTATTGGTCTACCGGTCGTGTTTTACGGACCGTGCTTGGAGAGTCGGTGTTGAGATGTGTCTGACGTGAGATTTTCAAACACCTCTAGTTTTTCATGTTCAGTCATCCTGAGTTTTGCTTTTGTACTCTGACACCAACAACAGGATGTAGACATACTATTTAAATATTGATCTGTTAAAAAGATGCACTGTTTTCCTGCTGTGTCTAATGAATATATTTATTATTGATTCATCGGCCAGAGAGAATCCGTTTGCAGAAGAAAAACTAAATATTATATTCACATGTGAGACACACAACCGCACTGATATCTCATGTTCATACAGAATCAGACTATCTATCTTTTAGTTTTTATTATCTTAAAATGCCACAAATTCACATTAATTAATCAGAAACAATCATTATTTAATTAAAGTTATTTTATATAGATACAGTTTAACGTAAAGCTCGTACAGGAGGAAATAACAAACGTTAAAGTTAATTTCTACGACACACATCAGTGCTTTATAGGTAGAAACATAAATAATGCAACCTCACCGTAACACCTGATCCGTACGATCAGTAATCCCGTCTCCTCTCTGTCAGGGCTCTCAGACTCCCAGCGTTCTGCTGGTGGAGGCGTTTTACGGCGGCTCCCACAAACAGCTGATCGACCTGCTGAAAGAAAACATCGACGGCTGCTCCGTCTTCACGCTGCCTGCCAAGAAATGGCACTGGAGGGCGAGAACGGCGGCGCTGCACTTCAGCCAAACCATCCCCACCTGTCCGTCATACAGGTGAGACTCGTACAGGTGACATTTGGATGCATTCACACTTGTACAGGTGAACTGTGTACATGTAACACTTGTTCAGCTAATGCTGGCAAAGGTGAGAGCGTACAGGTTAACACTCGCACGTGTAACATTTGGACACGTAGCACTTGTACAATTGTGCAATACCATTAGTATCGGTGACATTGGTACAAGTAATATTGGTACCGGTAACGCTGGTCCATGTGGTGCTGGTACAGGTAACAGCAGGTAATACTGGTACGGATTCTGGTGGTACGGATTCTGGTGGTACAGGTAACGCTGGTATTAACATGTCTTTTTAATTCATGAACACTCAGGTTTAACTGGATAACTTTATTCGGAATCTTTCTGTGCTCTTGAGTTTAAAAAGTGAAGACGAGAGCAGCGTGAGGAAGATTTCAGTGCAGGTTTCAGTGACGTGTGAAGCTGCTCAGTCAGATCTGATGATAGAAGTCAATAACAGACCAACATCAGCCTGATGCATCTGATCTGTATTGATAGTTCCTCTCTAGAGATGCAGAGTGTGTTTCAGTGTGGGGGGCTGACTCATTCTCAGACTGTGCTTTTAAAGGGCATCATGTACAAACATGATTCACTGTTTCACTGCGCTGCCCTTTGATTTCGTTCTGAATTCAAACAAGTGTTCATTCCTAAAGTTTCGAAGCTGCTGCATCATGAAAACACGTCGCCTTAGAATATTTAAATTACAGTCATCAGGACTTAAAAGGCTTCAAGCCGTCCTCATTGCAAATTTATCCAGCGTTTATTAACAGTTTATTTGATTTTATTTTCCATTCGTCAGGATTCAGGGATTTCTTCAGCAGCAGATTACGTTTAAACTGCAGCTTAAAGCTCTTCTACTGTTCTAGCAGCCAGCGGTTTGAGGAAAGTAGTTTCTATGAAATAACTTCTTCATGAACAACAATAAACATTTATATGAACCAGACCAGGAACATCACCACCACAGAAACTTTATATGGTATCGAATGTGGAAATTCCCCAAGTGTCTGACCTCCGGAGTCTCTGTAGACGTTTCTGTGAACTCGTCAGTGATGTCCTGTTTAGCCAGACTGAGTCTACGTGCTAGCAGCTCTGCCAGGCTGTTCCTTAGCACAGTGTTGCTATGAGCTAAATGCTAACACCAGCATGCTAACATGCTCACAATACTAAAAACATAATGTAACCATCTTCCCTATCTTAGTTTACCATGTTAGCATATGTCATAAACCAAAGTGTTGGAACATGTTGACCTGATGATGGCGCTAGATGAAGTGTCAGATTCAGTATGTGTGTTGTGCATGTTTTCTTTAATAGTTTATCATTGTTGTCATTATTTTTTCTATAATAATTTTTGTTTAATATCAATTGAAAACCCAGAGGGGAGGTTTCACTATAAGCCCTTGGGGGTTTCTTACCTCTCCTGCATAATTCATACAGTGTATTTATGTATGTTTGTTTGTTGTTGTGCTACTAAAAATAAATAAATGATCACTAAAGTTATAACAGTTCATCCTGAGGGGAGGATAAAAAAACACCCATAGAGCAACGCAGCTAGCATGGCTAAAAATGTGTTAGAAGATCATCATACATCAGAAAGGCTAATTTAGCCTCCAAGACTCACAAAAGTCACATTAGCTACCAAACATGTTAGCCTGCTGAGAGGGATGTTTGTAGATGCAAAACAAAGTTAATTTGCCAAAAAGTTAAGAATACTTGTTATTTTGTTATGCTAAATGTTAATTACAGCAAACATTATTAAACGCTATGTAATGTTAGCATGTTACAGGGTAAAGGTGCTGAATGCTACATAATGATAGCACGTTAAATATTAAATGCCATGTTCGTGTTAGCTTGTCAGAAGTGTTTGACCTTGGGAGTCTCTTTTAGATGTTTCTGTTTCATGGACGTTTGGTTGGTTTGTTTGCTGAGGCTCATGTGATCTGTGATATCTTGTTAAAAGCCCAAAGCTTCGGTAAGAAAACACAGACGTCTTTAGAGAAATCTGAGCAAGAAACACAGATCGTCTGTGTCCACATGGATTCACTCAGTAACTCTTAACTCTGAACACAGGAAGTCCTTCCGACTATTCTTGGCAGTGAACAGAGTAAAAATAGACTCATCTGGTTTGAGTCAGAGAGATTCCCGTTCTACTTTTGTACCACAGGCCTGAAAAAAGACCCGAGCGGGTCCAGGAAATTAGTCTAATCCAGGTCTGAGAGGCTCCCAGTTATCAGCGGTGGCTCGTGGAGAAGCCACATTAAAGATCCTGTGGGGGGTTGAAAAGGAGAGGGGGGGTGAGGTGGTAGGTGAGTGATGAAGGAGAGGTGGGGTCAGTCAGGGATGATCCAGATCTTCAAAGACTCTGAGCACAGAGGGTTCGGATAATGTGGTTAACAGTATATCATCATCAGAGGGTCAGGACTGCAGGATCACCCACAGGGGAAGACCTGGTTGTGCTGGTCCACATCGTTATCGTGGGGACACATCAGCTGACAAAGACGTTTGTCTCCAAGGTTGTGTCACGTTTTTATAAAAAGAATTCCAAAAGTCCATCCTGCAGGTTTTTATTTCTGTCTATATGTCTCTTGTGTTGGCTATGAGGGCCTGATCCATGTCCAACAAGTCCCAAGTCAAGACATTAAGTCCTAAGCCAAGTCCAACAAGTCCCAAGTCAAGACATTAAGTCCTAAGCCAAGTCCAACAAGTCCCAAGTCAAGACAATAAGTCCTAATTAAAGTCCAACAAGTCCTAAGCCAAGTCCAACAAGTCCCAAGTCAAGACAATAAGTCCTAATTAAAGTCCAACAAGTCCTAAGCCAAGTCCAACAAGTCCCAAGTCAAGACATTAAGTCCTAATTAAAGTCCAACAAGTCCCAAGTCAAGACATTAAGTCCTAATTAAAGTCCAACAAGTCCTAAGTCAAGACATTAAGTCCCAAGTTAAGACAATAAGTCCTAATTAAAGTCCAACAAGTCCCAAGTCAAGACATTAAGTCCCAAGTCAAGACATTAAGTCCCAAGTCAAGACATTAAGTCCCAAGTTAAGACAATAAGTCCTAATTAAAGTCCAACAAGTCCCAAGTCAAGACATTAAGTCCCAAGTCAAGACATTAAGTCCCAAGTCAAGACATTAAGTCCCAAGTCAAGACATTAAGTTCCAAGTCAAGACAATAAGTCCTAAGCCAAGTCCAACAAGTCCCAAGTCAAGACATTAAGTCCCAAGTCAAGACATTAAGTCCCAAGTCAAGACATTAAGTCCCAAGTCAAGACAATAAGTCCTAAGCCAAGTCCAACAAGTCCCAAGTCAAGACATTAAGTCCCAAGTTAAGACAATAAGTCCTAATTAAAGTCCAACAAGTCCTAAGCCAAGTCCAACAAGTCCCAAGTCAAGACAATAAGTCCTAATTAAAGTCCAACAAGTCCTAAGCCAAGTCCAACAAGTCCCAAGTCAAGACATTAAGTCCTAATTAAAGTCCAACAAGTCCCAAGTCAAGACATTAAGTCCTAATTAAAGTCCAACAAGTCCTAATTAAAGTCCAACAAGTCCCAAGTTAAGACAATAAGTCCCAAGTCAAGACATTAAGTCCCAAGTCAAGACATTAAGTCCCAAGTCAAGACAATAAGTCCTAAGCCAAGTCCAACAAGTCCTAAGTCAAGACATTAAGTCCCAAGTCAAGACATTAAGTCCCAAGTCAAGACATTAAGTCCCAAGTCAAGACAATAAGTCCTAAGCCAAGTCCAACAAGTCCCAAGTCAAGACATTAAGTCCCAAGTTAAGACAATAAGTCCTAATTAAAGTCCAACAAGTCCCAAGTCAAGACATTAAGTCCCAAGTCAAGACATTAAGTCCCAAGTCAAGACATTAAGTCCCAAGTCAAGACATTAAGTCCCAAGTCAAGACAATAAGTCCTAATTAAAGTCCAACAAGTCCCAAGTCAAGACATTAAGTCCCAAGTTAAGACAATAAGTCCTAATTAAAGTCCAACAAGTCCCAAGTCAAGACATTAAGTCCCAAGTCAAGACATTAAGTCCCAAGTCAAGACAATAAGTCCTAAGCCAAGTCCAACAAGTCCTAAGTCCAGACACTAAGTCCTAAGTCCAGACACTAAGTCCTAAGTCCAGACACTAAGTCCTAAGTCCAGACATTAAGTCCTAATTAAAGTCCAACAAATCCTAAGTCCAGACATTAAGTCCCAAGCCAAGTCCAACAAGTCCCAAGTCAAGACATTAAGTCCCAAGTCAAGACATTAAGTCCTAAGCCAAGTCCAACAAGTCCTAAGCCAAGTCCAACAAGTCCTAAGCCAAGTCCAACAAGTCCTAAGCCAAGTCCAACAAGTCCTAAGTCCAGACACTAAGTCCTAAGTCCAGACACTAAGTCCTAAGTCCAGACACTAAGTCCTAAGTCCAGACACTAAGTCCTAAGTCCAGACACTAAGTCCTAAGTCCAGACACTAAGTCCTAAGCCAAGTCCAGACACAAGTCAGATGACAAGTCAAGACTGAAGATGAGTACAAGTCATTATTATGATATAAAAACGTGACCTGAAGTCAAAAGGATGAAGTGATGTTGGACTAATGGATTGTTTACATGAAGTCTCGGTCATCAGATTCGAGACTCGAGGTTGGCCTTGAGTCCCGCCTCTTCCTGCTAGTGACGGGTCCTTTCACACCAACGTTGACCACAGTGACATTTTACACTGAGATGATGATGATTATTACCAGAAGTTCCACTTCTGTATCTTATAGAAATACCCAGATGTAATAAGCAGAACAGGAAATGTCCTGCTGTTCGTCCTTTTTGTTTGAATATGTCACTGTGTTCTGCTGCCCCATTGTTGTTATTATTATTGATATCAGTGTTATTGATTAATAGTGCATTTCGTTTGACTGTTTTAAAGAAGGCTCTGTAAGTTTCTGTACTCCGCCGCCTCCCCGGACCTCCATGTTGACTCCAGATGTGGTTCTCAGCAGGTTTCTGACACCAGGTTTTTGGCAGCTGTACAGACCGTCTGTACTTCATTTTCCTTCCACTAACATCATATTTCTGTACACACTTTTCTCCTCAGAGTCTTGTTCAGCAGCTCGGTCCTGAACCTGTGTGAGCTGGTGGCCCTCAGACCAGATCTGGCCCGTCTGAAGAAGGTTCTGTACTTCCACGAGAACCAGCTGGTTTATCCGGTCCGCAAAGACCAGGAGAGAGACTTCCAGTACGGATACAACCAGGTCCTCTCATGGTAAACACTAGTTCTGTTATTGGTGTGTATGTTCAGGACTGCGGTTGGGTTCGGGTCGCAGTCCTGCAGTGACGGCTGCTATGGGTCACAGGAAGCAGCTGCAGAGGTCTCGCTCTTTTTAAGGAGTAATCAGGTGTCAGTCAGCAGCTGCTTTAACTCTGCAGATCTGTCGGTGGCGAGACGCTGTCCTCACGTCCTTTACAACAGGTGTGGAGGCGCTTGGGTATCAACAAGCTGATTGGAGGATTCAACTTCAGTTAAAGTTATACAAGCATGAAAGGAACCAGCAGATGAATGGCTCCCTTCTTGACTTCAAGACCACAGAAGCTGCTGAACATGATTTCAACACGTATGAATGATCCAAAGATCTTTTTCTGCTGATCGGCCGATCAATTAATGGACTTCCAGTTCCAGCCCACAGAGAAACGCTCATCGAGGTGATGCACGGCCTGGTTTCACTCACATTTACATTTATTCATTTAGCTGACGCTTTTATCCAAAGCGACTTACAATTGCTGTACATGTCAGAGGTCACACGCCTCTGGAGCAGCGAGGGGTTAAGTGTCTCACTCGGGGACACACTGGTGGACGGGTCACAGTGGGGGGATTGAACCCAGGTCTCTCACACCAAAGACATAGTCTTATCCATTGCGCCATCACCACCCACACAATTTTGAAGACTGGATGGAAACTCTGCAGAAACACACCATCGAGGCTGCTCACAAAACACATCATTAGATGTGTTTTAAAAGATGGTAACATATAAAATCAAACACTAGATACAGTTATTTCTATACATATTTACGTACACGCATCCATCCAGAACATTCTTGCCCTGGCACCTCACAACATGGACCGCCCACCGAGTGACCCGGGATGTTGATGGACCAGGTGGGCTCAACAGTATCTGGTTTCTGTTCTTGGCCTACATGAGTCCCATTTTGTCCAGACCGGACCTTTAGTAGCAGAATTAAGTCCAAACTGGGCCAACATGTCCTGGCTCTCTTTCCTCTGAGCGACCCCCCCAGTGGTACCTGGTCCGGTGTGTGTGTGTGTATTTCTAATATAAAAGAATCATTTTTTAGATATTTTCTTTTGTTGGACTGCATTAAAGCTCAACATGTGTTGAAGTGTTGCCTCTGCGAACAACGGAGTCGTCATCGACACCAAGTAAAGAAACATTTCCTGTTTTTAGGTGTGATACATGAACCGACCTGCGTTAGCGGAGGAAGTTAAAGTCAGATATATATAAAAGGTGTTACTGGTGTTTGTGCCTCATCAGTTACAATCAAGTTCAGAAATAATTCACACAGAATCAGGAGTTACAAAGTTTGTTCAGCTCAAACACGACACACGAGGTTTTATGTATCCGTTATAAAATGTGCTGTTATAATTAATAAGTGAGATTTATTTAGCTTTAAACAGCCAACGATCGCAGCATCAACTCTGCTGCAGTTTGTCTTAATGAGCGTGTCAGGCTGCATGTGATTGGCTAACGAGCGTCTCTGACAGGCCGCTGTGTGTAATTGAAGTGGGTCTAGTTGTCATTAATCAGCTGTCCAACAGCACGCAGCAAACTGATTGTTGTTGATCTGCAGGGCAGCATGTCAATAAGTGGAGTCTCCCCGCCTCCGCTAACGACGTTACAGCGGCATTAAATAACTGATCATTAAGAGGCCTCTGATTGGATCGAAGCCCGATTACTTCACTCGTTTTAATTAGAATGCGGCACAAAGCTCCACGGTGAAACTCCCTACAGCTGACTTTTTATACCAGACGTGAGCTTCCTGTTCCAGAGAGTTTACGCTGTCATTACTCTCACTGAGACCTGTGCTTAACTTTAATATGAGTGATCAGCGGTTCAGCCTCACTAAGAGACTGGAGCTGCAGACCTCTGCAGCAGATGCAGTAGCTCAGTGAGCCGCCACCACATCGCTGCTCCTGTTTTACATGCTCATTTTGAGTTACAACAGGTTGATGAAATGGAAACATTTGAACACACTTCCTGTTTATGGGCTAAACAGGAAATGGAAACACCTTTGGCGAATAAGTTCTGACGTAGCGAACTACGGCAGCACGACTAATCTGATCGCAATTGCGACGTCGTCATGTGCGAAAAAAGAAAAAGTGGGCTCTCGCACGTGCCTCCAAAAACAGATGAGCCTACGTGCAATGAGAAAAATTTTAAGACAACAACCTGCAGCTAATGGTTCAAAACGTAGTCGGTCTCGCCACCGGAGCAGCGAGAGAAATGGCGGTCGCTCTGTGACAGAGCGGCGGCGGCGGCAGCTGAAGCGGTGGGCTAAGACAGAAGGTTTGGCTGTCTCGCTGCCTTTTGTTGCCTGGTCACTTTTCATCAACCGACCAATCACAGCCTGGATGACCAGTATGATTTTTGAAGAGTTAGAAGTGAATTAGAGACCGATGTAGAGCCTGTTCCTGCACCAGGATGAAATAAATAAAAACCAGCTGGATTTAATGTTTGACTACTATATGAAATTATAATGAATACAGTAATCACTATAGTGCAACACTGACATCTCACTTTTTATTGGATGTACTAATATTAGACTCCAGACTAGATGTTTACAATGTGGCTGGATCAGTATTCTTAGACTGGTGGCGAAAACCTTGTTTCTTGTGTTCGTTTGTTCAAGCTGAGAAACACACGTTTCAAAATGGATTCCTCGATAACCAAGCGAGCAGACTCAGAGTACCATTTGTTCCCAATCGCAGTCTGATTGTTCTTGAAATTGTGCAGCCCTACAGCGAACGTTGACCTCCTGACCGGTCAGCTGTTTTCACTTTACTACTTCCTGTTTATTACAGCCGTGTTTAACGCCAACTGATCGCCGGGTTTATTCGCTCACACGCCTCGTTCACGTTTTCTCTTTCTGTTTTGCGACATTTCAAATGGAAACTAAGAAACTGGAAACACAGATGAGTAACAGCATAAACTACTAATGAAATGAAATCCCTGCCGTTAACGTGCACAGAGCGTTAACTCAGAAAGGGCGTGTCCTCACTTCCCTCCTGTGTGTCGGCAGCCTGGTGGCAGACCTGGTGGTGTTTAACTCCGCCTTCAACATGGACTCCTTCCTGTCCTCCATCTCCTCTTTCATGAAGAAGATCCCAGACCACAGACCCAGAGACCTGGACCTGCTGATCCGACCCAAGTGCGTGGTCCTGTACTACCCGGTCCAGTTCCCCGATGTCAGCAGGTCAGTGTGATCCTCCTTTAATCTGCGACAAGCAGGGTGTTGGATTAGACAGGAGCGGCGTTTAACGAGGATTAACTGTGAAGTTCAGAGACGGCCGGCGGTGGCTGCCCGTTCCACCTGAAAGAGAACGCTGCTCAGAATCGATCTGCTGCAGTTTTGTTGTTTGACCGCTTCTTTTAAATCCTCACACTGGAACAATAATAATAATAATAATAATAATAAAACACATGCAAATGGAAATGAAAGTCTGTTGCTTTCAAAACTGTACAACAGAAATAACGGAGCCGCCGTGGCGCCGTTGGTTTGTGGGTCGCTGTTTTGAAGCCTCCAGTTTGGCATCCTGGCTGTCGCCATCTTGGTTTTTTGGAACCAGATGCGACCATATATGGGCGAGAGGGAGGAGCTAGCTAGCTTGGTTAGCAAGGTGCATCTGTAATTCATATTAGCTGGGATGCTAACTAGCGACAAACAGGCTTAAAACTAAACGTACTTCCTGGAAAATGAGCATCCGACTCCTGATGAGCTTTTTTTGACTTGAAACTAGCGACTGAGACCATAAACTCATCAGGAAAGTGTTTACTGAGGGAATAAATCAGCTGAGAAGTAGAAACATTTTCTTTCTGCAGCCGCTGGAGTCGCCGCCTGCTGGCTGTTAGAGAGGACGCAGGTTTAAGTCGCCCCCTGCTGGCTGCTAGAGAGGACGCAGGTTTAAGTCGCCCCCTGCTGGCTGCTAGAGAGGACGCAGGTTTAAGTCGCCCCCTGCTGGCTGCTAGAGAGGACGCAGGTTTAAGTCGCCCCCTGCTGGCTGCTAGAGAGGACGCAGGTTTAAGTCGCCCCCTGCTGGCTGCTAGAGAGGACGCAGGTTTAAGTCGCCCCCTGCTGGCTGCTAGAGAGGACGCAGGTTTAAGTCGCCCCCTGCTGGCTGCTAGAGAGGACGCAGGTTTAAGTCGCCCCCTGCTGGCTGCTAGAGAGGACGCAGGTTTAAGTCGCCCCCTGCTGGCTGTTAGAGAGGACGCAGGTTTAAGTCGCCCCCTGCTGGCTGCTAGAGAGGACGCAGGTTTAAGTCGCCCCCTGCTGGCTGCTGGAGAGGACGCAGGTTTAAGTCGCCCCCTGCTGGCTGCTAGAGAGGACGCAGGTTTAAGTCGCCCCCTGCTGGCTGCTGGAGAGGACACAGGTTTAAGTCGCCCCCTGCTGGCTGCTGGAGAGGACGCAGGTTTAAGTCGCCCCCTGCTGGCTGTTGGAGAGGACGCAGGTTTAAGTCGCCCCCTGCTGGCTGCTGGAGAGGACGCAGGTTTAAGTCGCCCCCTGCTGGCTGTTAGAGAGGACGCAGGTTTAAGTCGCCCCCTGCTGGCTGTTAGAGAGGACGCAGGTTTAAGTCGCCCCCTGCTGGCTGTTAGAGAGGACGCAGGTTTAAGTCGCCCCCTGCTGGCTGCTGGAGAGGACGCAGGTTTAAGTCGCCCCCTGCTGGCTGTTAGAGAGGACGCAGGTTTAAGTCGCCCCCTGCTGGCCGCTGGAGAGGACGCAGGTTTAAGTCGCCCCCTGCTGGCTGTTAGAGAGGACGCAGGTTTAAGTCGCCCCCTGCTGGCTGTTAGAGAGGACGCAGGTTTAAGTCGCCCCCTGCTGGCTGCTGGAGAGGACGCAGGTTTAAGTCGCCCCCTGCTGGCTGCTGGAGAGGACGCAGGTTTAAGTCGCCCCCTGCTGGCTGTTGGAGAGGACGCAGGTTTAAGTCGCCCCCTGCTGGCTGCTGGAGAGGACGCAGGTTTAAGTCGCCCCCTGCTGGCTGTTAGAGAGGACGCAGGTTTAAGTCGCACCCTGCTGGCTGCTAGAGAGGACGCAGGTTTAAGTCGCCCCCTGCTGGCTGTTGGAGAGGACGCAGGTTTAAGTCGCCCCCTGCTGGCTGCTGGAGAGGACGCAGGTTTAAGTCGCCCCCTGCTGGCTGTTAGAGAGGACGCAGGTTTAAGTCGCCCCCTGCTGGCTGTTAGAGAGGACGCAGGTTTAAGTCGCCCCCTGCTGGCTGCTGGAGAGGACGCAGGTTTAAGTCGCCCCCTGCTGGCCGCTGGAGAGGACGCAGGTTTAAGTCGCCCCCTGCTGGCTGTTAGAGAGGACGCAGGTTTAAGTCGCCCCCTGCTGGCTGCTGGAGAGGACGCAGGTTTAAGTCGCCCCCTGCTGGCTGTTAGAGAGAACAGACCCGGAGGTTCCTGCTTGGTTGCATTAATAAAAAGCTTTTTGAGAAGTGATTTCAAAGATGTCTCAGTGGCGTGTTACATCTCCTTTACCCCCCCATGTTGTAACATGAAACATTTAGCATGTTAGCTTCTCACAGTGCTAAAATGAGTTTAAGATGTGAAAACTTTCCCTTAATAACTAAGACTCACAGCTGATGAGCAACATTGTCCAGCCTGTGTGTTAAAAGGTTTGGTGTGTGTGTTTCCTCTCAGGCGAGTGATATCTAAACTGTGTGTTGGTGCTCTGCATGTCGGCTGCGTTCACGTGTCGTATCAGTGACGCCGGGCTGCAAGACCACTTCCTCTCGCCTGCGGCGTTTCTCAGCTCATTTTCAGATGCTAATGTGTCTGATCCAAAAGCAAACTCACAGAGTGTAAGTAAGTGATGATATGCATGGCCGACAATCCCTCCACACGCCCGCGGTCCCTCTGCCAAACACCCAGCCCTGCTCTTTGAAAATATAAAGCGCTCAGAGAAACAAACGGGGCGAGGGGGGGGGGGGTGATTTCTCTGCAGAGGTATTAACGTGTTCAGATCGAGGAGAGTTCATGGTGAAGAAACACAAGCGGCCCAGAGGGGGAACGCCAAACCACAACACGTCTTCTTCTTTTAGTGTCTCTCACTGTTCACTAATGAGCTCGTCGCCTCTAAACTAAAGGGCTGCAGCTGATGCTCACACATTATATTTATATACATACATATAAATCTATCAGAGATTAATGGAAAGGTCAGAAGCCCCAGCAGCATGCAAACTGAATTACTGATTACTGAGCGCCTGTTTCTGGGTGAAATCATTAAAGTGACAACAGAGGTTTTCGTTTTGTTCGACCAGTTTACTGAGAAAACACAGGAAACACGAGACATTAGAGAACCAGAGGATGGTTTATTTTTCCTCATGTGGCCGACACTTTTATCCACAGACATTTGAGGAACGGCAAGCATCAGTAAAGGAAGAGATCTACAACTGACAGTGGAGTAAGAGCTCGAACAGCATCAGCCGCGAGGTGCAGGAACTTCTCTGCAGGCGTGCAGAACTCTGCACAACAGGGCAAGACGCCGACAGCAGAAACAGCCGATTAGTCGTGAGTTACAAGTTCGCTACGTCAGAACTGATTCCACCTCAAGTGAGCGTAAAAATGTTTTGTTTATTTCCAAATTTTGCCGTTTCCATCGACCTTTTCTGATGCGATTCTTCAAAATGTACATTAAAAAACGCTGATGGAAACACGGCTGATGATTGATCGAACACCAGACAGAGAAAAATGATGAACGGACTAATTGTTCCAGCTCTAACTCTCTACTGGAACTCATAACTTTCCTTCAGTGCGTGAGACAGTAATTCCCATAAATACCAGAAAAACAAATGAAAACTGGCCTCATCAGTCTGAACTCTTCAAATTCTTAGTTTATTTAAGGAAAACAGAAAACTTTTATTTACATTCAGCTGCCTTCATTTCTTACACTGCTTTGTTAATTCTGCTCAGTGTTTCTTTCACTAACACTGAGGCTCCTGTACACAATCTCACATGAGAACAGTCGTTTTATCCTGTTAACAGTGTTTGAACCTGCAGCCGAGCGACTTCAGTTATATTTTCCTGATCTGCAGACGGGTGTAGACTCATGGGGAAGACGTCCAGCCTAAACTGGAACAAGAGTCATATTTTAATCATTTCTGACTTTCTGAGCTCATCAGGCTCAAACTCAAGTTTTGTTTGCAGACCCATCAGTCCTGTAGTGTCGGAGCGAGGTGGATTCGTGGTGCTGGCCCTGAAGAAGAAAACAAAACAAAAAAGGCTCCATTGTGGAGGCAGTCTGGCGTGTCTGAATGCACTCAGGGCTCTGTGGCCTCTTTGTGGTCGGGGTGTTTGCGGCGTCCATCTATCAATCGGCCTTTGAGTGGTGGACTTTTGTAATTTAATAGTGATTGACCCGAGCCGGCAGAAACCTGCGGCGGGACACAAAGACATCACATCCATCACAGCCGAGCAGCAGGACGCTGAAATCACATCAATGTGGACACCACGTGGTCGGCAGGTGGCTTTTCTTCTTCGCTGGTCTTTGTGTGGCCGTCGGGGCTCTGCCGGTCGTCAGGTGTCCTCTGGAAGGTTTTGTTGCTGCGGCCTGAAAAGTATTTGATTCTCGGATTAGACGATTAATTCTCGCCGTGACGAGGAATTGACGGACTGCAAGTTTGTCCCCGACCAATCACAGACTGCTGTTTTTCACGGCCTGTGTGATGTCATCAGAGAGGAGGAGCTGGGGACTGACTTCCTGTGAAAGCCGTTTGATGGCGGCGTGTTTGTGTTTCTGCTGGGGAGATTACTCACGGTTTCATGATTGTCACAGCTGGGTGTGTGCGTGTGTGGTAGTAACGACCAATCAGGGCCGCTCGCTTCATCCTTAGTTCATTCCTCTTCATCAGCTACTTCAAACACACATATGGAGCCAATTGTGGTGGATTCTGGCACTGAGAGCCGAGTCACTGGCAACCCCCCACGCCCCCCAACGCCTTCACCTAAAGTACGTCCTCCAACTAGCACCATGAGCCCCCCACCCCTCCCTCCACCAGCGGGGTCGGCTCCTCGCAGACGGGTAGAAGGTGGCCGGCAGCTGTTTCCATCCCTCCAGATCAAACATGTGATTAGGAGGCGAGCTTCCTGCTTCATCAGCCGACTCTTAGATTCACTCTGAAGTCAAACTGTAATCAGACAGATCAGGTCCCACCTCACGGAGTCCAGTCTGTCCGGGTTCAGGTCCAACACCGGCTGAAGGTT